GTTTAAATTATGTAAGTCGCCCCATAGTCATTTAATTAATATGGGCGGTGATATAAATTAAATAACTAATATATATAAATACAAGGGGCGTCCAAAGGAGGAAACTGTGGTCCAAAGAAGCAAAAGGAAGAAAAACATAAATCAGGATGTAAAGACGACCTAAGTACATCAACTGCAGCGGGAAGGTGCATCAAATGAAAATGGCATGCTACCTTTTTAAAAGCGGGGGGGGGAGGGGGCTGTTGTTTTGTTTTAATTTTATTGCCCTCAAATCTCAAAAAACCAACAACACACATTCTCCTTTAGTAGCCACCAGTTGCAGGACTGGCACATTGGAAAGAAAACATGTAACCCAACCTTATTCCAGCATTCCATATTCTTAAAATGATATTATAGAAAATAAAATCATGTCAAACCCCTTTTTTTGTGTGTGTGCAAAATAGTGTCTCCACTCTTCAAAATATAAATTTGTGTTCCAAATCAGCAGGTGCCTCATTTCAGAAGATTAGTTTACGTTTATTATTTAGAATATTCTTCTATGAGTTGCTTTTAGGTAGACCCAAATAAAAGCCTGAGTTGTTAAACCCGCTCTAACCTTTGTTAGAATTTGTTGCAATTTTAAGTATTGTTTTGCAATAAGAGTTAAATAGTTGCTCTTACAATATTATTTATTATAAAAGTGAACAGAATAAATAAATTTGCAAGTGGTTCACGTCCCATTGACAATTACTGCGTTAGTCACCGTATTCAAGTTAATGTTACACAAATATATTTTGCCCAAATTCCACTATTTTCTCCTACCTACCAAACTTCCACTCAAACCACCCTCAAATGTTTGCAAATACCTGTGTAAGTATGCAGCTGGAATTTGTAATATGAATAAATACAGAGAGAATTTCCCCAACCTCAAGTAGCTTTTCTGTTTTAGAGATCTCTAATCTGTTAAGCCTGCCAAATCACCATATTGGGAAAATTAAAGGGTATGCTTAAAATGGTTTATGTTGTTTCATGATCCCACTTGGCAATACTTCTTTAAGAATTTTCAAGAAAATCATTTAAATTTGCTGGGGGGGAATACTGTACTTTCAGAATTTGGATATTGTCCAATTTTGTACAGTATTTTGTTTTACAGGATTTATGGTATTTTGAACAAAAATTAAAATTTCATTCTCCATTCTGAATTTACTACTTTACCCATATCATCTGACCCTAAGGTGGGGCTAATCCTACCGCAGAATAAGTCTATCTTGTACCAATAATCTAGATGGGGTGTCCAACCTTTGCAGCTTTAAGATTTGTGGACTTCCAACTTCCGAGCATGGCTAGTTGGGAAACTCTGGGAATTGAAATCCACAAGCCTTAAAATTGCCCAGGTTGGACTCCCTTGATCTACAGCTACCTGATTTCAAACCGGTCATAATTAAAATTAAGCAAGCCTGGGAGGGAATTAATATATTATAAATAATAAATAATAAAAAGTAAATAAATTTTAAATAACATTTAAAAATCCTCAGCAAAGGGACAGGAAGTCAGTTAAATTAATTTCCCAGTTATGCCCACATCAAATCTCACGCAGTATCATTCAGTTTCTATTCAGACCAGCTTGAGACAACTATTATGAAATGCTTCTACCTAAAGCAGCAACCTGCTTTGTACAATAGAAGCCACGCGTTGTTGCAGAATACTTTATGTAATGGTATGTGACCTTGGGAGACAAAAAGAGACCCAGACTAGTCAACAACCAGATAAGTAGCCGAGTCCAAAGAAGGAATGAGGATGGAGCAAACATCTCAAAACTGACCCTTTGTAGTTTCTTGGACTGAGCTGGGCTTTTGAAGCTTGCAAGATTCTGTTAAGATAACCTTACTATAAGGCTAGTATTTCTGGGTATGCTTTGTGTCTGGACACCTTGCAATGAGCCATAACTAGCTGGGTTCACCCAACACACCTGATCCCAAACCAACAAAGCATGACGTAGCTCAGAGGTCTCCAAACTTGGCAATTTTAAGACTTGTGAACTTAAAGGAGAATTCTGGCTGGAGAATTCTGGGAGTTAAAGTCCACAAGTTTTAAAGTTGCCAGGTTTGGAGACCTCTGACTTAGCTCGTTGGGGGAATGAGACCTCAGACTCTCAGCGGCGAGAAAAAAAACAGGTCCTCGACACACGTTCGATAGTCCAGGCTTATGCACAAATGCCATTTTTGTACCCACAGCATCACCCCCAAGTTTATGGTTGCATTCCAGCACTCTCCCACTTCCTGTTCAATTGGTCATCCTGAAAAGATTGACATGGAGTCAGCAATTTTAACAGCAAAGCAGAGCCCTGGTGTGTGGAGGGGGGAGGGTGTTCCGCCAATTATGTCCCTCTCACAGCAAAAGGTGTTCACGGGCTTAATCTGCAGGTTGACTACCCAGCTGAACAAGCTCTGCTATTAATTTGATACTTGAAAGAGAGAAACAGGCTGTTCTTGTTAACAAGAGACACAGCAATAGGCATATAAAGAGACTCTGACCTCAGGAACAAAATTGCACATTCAATATATGCCACCTGCTTTTCTTAACTGAGAAAGTGGGGAGGGAGGCAAAGCATATAATTATTGGAAGAAGACACACACACCCTCCTTAACTAGGAGCAAACTTTTAAGTTCCCTGGTGTCAGGTCATTAAAAGGAGACCCCAAAATTCAAAATACTTTTTAAAGTGTCTTCAATATTTGCAGCGGAGCCAAGTTTGGCTCAACAGCAGGGAAGAATCCAGATAGGAGTCCAAGGGAAGAGTTACCTTACCATAACCCGTTTTTTAGATGAAAGACACAAAGGCTTCAGGCACCATGTCTTGTGGCCCAGTGGCTAATGTGCAACGAATTCCCCTTCCTGAGAACTCAACTGGGCAATGACCTGCTCTAACAGCTACTTCCAGAATTCAGTGGAAGGAATTTGTGAAGCCAGCGTTGAAATTCACACCAATGGATTCACCACGTACTACACAGCACAGTGGAGTGAGCAGAAAAGAAAAACATGATTTCCTGCTCCAATTCCTGTCCTGAGCTACAGGTGAAATCCACCTGCAAACCTCAAGGCCTTTCCTGATGCAACTGAGAAGCACATTGCCACGTTTTTCTTAATGAAAGTTGTAGCACCGCACCCCACACCCATGATGTTATCAGGCTGCACGCTGTTGCCCATCCACACAAGGCAATTCCACAGTAGAAGCTAAGCTGTTTCTCAAACCACATTTTGCTGGAGGAGTTATGACATGTAAACACTTAACTGCCACTATTGCAAAAATTCAGCTAGGTGAAGAAAGCATTGATTTTCCTTTTTCTTTTTTGAGGGAAACACAAGCTTCCTTTCCTTTGATGCTAAGGGAACTCGGCCCAAGTTAAGCAATTCAGAAACTACCCCAATTTTGCTCAACCAGGAATTGCCAGGTTGCAAACAGTAGCAGTGAAGTCATTTACTTGATGGCTTGTCTTTTCTGTAATTTGAGCTGTGAGCCCTTAAAAGTTATACAGCTATATTCAATGCCCGGCAGGATGGGTTGGAACAAGAGTTTACAGAATTCACCACATCCCGATGTGAAGTTGCATTATCAGACTATCTGCGTTTTATTCAAAAGAAAATGCATTTATGGGGCTTAGAGCCATAAATGGTTCCTTGGGAATAAGGTCTGATCAAACATCCTACTCAAGACTATGCTGACAAGGCCTAAACACACACACATAAGTGTACAGGTCAAAAAATAGGATATGGCAGCTCACACACAACCTTCAGCAATATTTTGAAGGAAGGGTTGGTGCCAGATGGGTAGAATGGTCAATTTAAAAATATTCTGTGTGTGTGTGTGAGAGAGAGAGAGAGAGAGATCAGCAGTATTGGAAATGACAAAGGTAGGAAAGATGATTAAGCAATCTGTGCCACCAGAAAAGAGATCACTCCCAACTAGAGAAGGTGGATGGTCAGGAATCAATGATCGCAGTAATTCCAGATTTGGGCCCCAGTTCAACACGCAGATGCTACTCGGGGACATCTACACAAAGTATTTCTCAGCACTACCCCAGCTCTTCACAAATTTACTACATTTGCAGATTAAAGCAGAGTCTTTGCTGGCCTTCTAATGAGGTTAATTCGTAATGCCAGGGATTAATAAATGCCCAATTAATGAGGCTGAAGCTGATGCTCTTCTCCACACGCTTGTCAAAGATCAGCTGTACGACCAGCCAGCATCTCTTAAGTGAGTTTCCAAATAAAGGGCTCTTTGGGATTACCAGCCAAATCTCCCTCCTTCTGGCCAAGAAAGGCCAGCTTCGCATCACACCAAACCTGTCCAATGGATGAAGCCACCCAAGGGCTGCAGAGTACCTGCCACATCTGGAAACACCGGAACTTCCAATCCCATAATTAGCGATACATGTGATTATTATGCCATTCCAAGGCCCAGGGGCAATTTTTGTGTACCTTTTCCAAGAGGAAGCTGCAGAGAGGACACCCAAGACAGAAACAGATTGGCTGGCAAATGATCAAAAGCGGCCCAACAGATCTCTTTGGAGAAGGGAGAGGGGGTGTAGGCAGCCTGGAGCAGATCAGCCCTGATCCAAAGTCAGGTTGTTCCAAAGACCCAGCTGCCAGGGCGATTTCGCAATCCCTAACTGCAATTTGTAGACTTGCAGAGAGCCAGTTTTTTTTTTAAAAAAAGTTATATGTTACAGGAACCCCGACGCTTAAAATGAATTCTTTTCAACCCGGTAAGAATGCCAAAAAAGGGAACCCCAAGATTAGGTGCAAGAAGAGCTGGGGGGAGGGGGGACAGGGAAGACTACCCAGGAGCGGGTCCCCTCTCCCCCAGCCAAATGTGTAGGGTCGCCTTCTCCGGCTGCAGTGATGGGCTTTGTAGTCCGGCAAGATCAGCGAAGCAGGGAGCCTGGAGGAAGGAGCAGCTCTCTCCAGCTCTGGCGCACGCGTCCGATTTCCTCCCCACCTCCGCTCGTTCCCCCGACCCACCTTGACGGAGTCCACGGGGTACATGACCGTGTGCTCCAGGATGCCGGCCACCGCCCCGGCGGTCATGTGCGTGTAGAGGGAGGCGTTGGTGGGCAGGCACTCGTAGTCCTCCACGCAGGGACTCTCGCCGTCCATCAGGAGCCCCGTGGCGGCGGCGGCGGAGGAGGAAGAAGAGGAGGACGCAAGGCTGGCCGGCGTGGCCGGCGTTTGGCCGCCGCCGCCGCCGCCGCTGCTGTTGCCGCCGATGGTGGAGCCGCCTCCGCCGCCGTTCCTCCCCGCGACGCTGCAGCTCACTTCCATCCGCGCGCAAAACAAGGCGAAGCGGCCGCTGCGGGAGGGGAAGACACCGTGGAGGGAGGGCAGGAGGGAGGAGACGGGGCGGGAAGGGGGGGGAAGAGAAAGTTCACTTCGGAAAGTAACGCTCCCCCCCCCCGCCCCCGCCACGCCCTCCCCGACTCGCCAACCGCCGGGCCAATAGCGGCGCGTAAAAGCGCAGCGCCCGGTGCGCCATTGGCACAAGCTGGGTTCCTCGCTGCGTCGCGGCTTCCTGGCAGCCAGCCGCTGGGGCGCTCCGGCTGGGAGCTGGAGGTGACTTGCAGTCCTGCCAGCAAATCCTCAGGAAGGCAAAGGGGGCCGTGCTTTGCGCCCGCTAGGCGGGATCCAGGCCTGCGCTTTCCTTGCCCGCCTGCCTGCCTGCCTTCCCTGACAAAGACGGCGAGGCGCAAATGCCAGCCGAAGGAGGGGGCGAGACGGGGACGCCATGGCATCGAGCTTAGTGTCAAAAGCGCAACGGAGCTGTGTGTGTTTTGTTGCTGTTGTTTACGAGTTGGGAAAATGTGGGTCGGGCCGGAATGAGTTGAGGCATGCATTGAGTCTTGGCCGGCCTGCAATGCCTAGTGGGGGAATTGACAAGGGCCTGGGTTTTCCCGATCCACCCGATCCGGGATCCACTCGGCTCCATTCTGCTTTTGCCACCGTGGGTTTGGCAAAGCGCCTTTGCTTTCATAAAAGAGGCATTTGGGATTGAGTTTGGGAGGCGTTCAAATAATATTGCAACAGCCACAAGAGCCGGCAGGCAGGCTGGCGGGGAGGAAATGGGATCCTGGTTTGTTGGAACAAACCACAACTGGCTAGCTTTTGCACCGGGAACAATGGCTGGCAAGTCGCAGAAGCGGACGTGATTGTTTATCATCTGACCATTCATTGCAACATATTTATACTGTTTTCATTTTTCACCACTTAAGGCAGCATACGGAATAACACAATAGTAGATACAATAAAGATGAACAAAAACAGGCCTATCGTCTTTCCCCTCAAAGCATTTTGGAATACAGAAATTTATTTTTTACATATCGCCATGTAGCTTGGCTTGGTTTGGAACAAAGATGTTCTTCAAATCGTTCCTTGTGTTTTCTTTGCATGTTAGTTTGTTCATTCAGCAAACTCTGGTTTGTGATGTGTGACTCTAAATAAAAGCTAGTAGTGGTATGCAAAACAATTTTGGAACACTTTTTAAGTTTTCCAGTCAGTTCACTTAACCTCCAAGGCCAAAGTGATGGGATTTAAAAGTCAGCATATTTATGGTGGCTGCTTGGCAAGATGACCAGTAAACCTCCCAAATGTTTGCTTTATATATAGATGGTCCTCGATTTACCTGTGTCTCCCCGAAAATAAAACCCTGTCTTATATTTTTTGCCACCAAAAAAGGCACCAAGTTTTATTTTCGGGGTGTGGGGTGGGGTCATCCACTGACTAACCTCATTTGCACACATTGCCCCCGGCCTCCTTTTCTCTTCAGGTACTTCTTTGGCTTTGGATAGCCGCAGCGAGGCCTCCTATACCTCGGCCGATTTCTTTCTTCTGCAGCCAGCAACGTTTTCCTAAAGGCCTCTGTAGCCAATAACGGAGCTCCGGATCGATCTGGCTACAGAGGCGTTCAGAAAAGCCTTGCCGGCTGCAGAAGAAGCAGGCCAAGGTGTGCGAGGCCTGTCTGCAACTATATTCGAAGGTAAGTAGTAGGGCAGCTCTTACCACCCCCACCCTAGCTTAATTTTTACTGGAAAGGGCAGGATCTTAATTAGGGCTTATTTGGGGGGGTAGGGCTTATATTGGGTACATGTAATAAATCAAGCTAGGGCTTATTTTTGGAGTAGGTCGTATTTTGGGAGAAACAACTATTCATTTAATAACCGTTCTAAGTTACAATGGCAACTGAAAAAAGTGATAAGCGGTCCTTGCACTGAAAATTAACACAGCATCCTCATATGATCAGAATTCGGGTGCTTGGCAACCGGTATGTATTTACAACATCTGCAAAGTCCTGGAGTCATGGGATCGCCGCTTGGTAACCTTCCTAGCCAGCTTCTGGCAAGCCAAGTCAATGGAGGGGGGATGTAGCCAGTTCATTTAATGACCGCATGCTTCATTTAACAACTGCAGTGATTTCCTTAACCACTACGGCCAAAAAAAGGTCATAATATCAGGCACAACTTACTTAACAACCACCTTGCTTAATAACAGAAATTCTGGCCTCCATTGTGGTCATGGGTTGCAAGCTACCTGCAGATAAAAGAGAGATAATTTTTATTAAAACTTTGAAATAAGAAGATAAAAAAGCAAAATTAGGGAAAAGAAAGGGGAAAGCAAAAAACAAAAAGCAAGAATAAAGTTGAAAATGAAAAAAATATAAAGAAAGTCACTTCCAATGTTCTTCACAGCAGTGATAAGTTCAAATATATTTTAACCTCCCTCTCTCAAGTTACATCATACAGATAGTCCTCAACTTATGACCACAGCTGAGCCCAAAATTTCTGTTGTTAAATGAGGCATTTTGTGCAGTGAGTTTTGTCCCATTTTGCAATGTTTCTTGTCACAGTTGCTAAGTGAATCACTGAAGTTGTTAAAGCTAGTAATCCGATTGTTAAGTGAACTTGGCTTTCCCATGTTTGTCAGATGTTCGCAAATACAATCACTGCAAATGTCATAAACACGAACCAGTTGCCAGCATCCAAATTTTGATCACTTGACTATGAGGATGCTACAAAGGTTGTAACTGTGAAAAATGGTCATAAGTCACTTTAGTGCCATTGTAACTTTGGTCACTAAATGAACTGTTGCAATTCGAGGCACACCTGTGTTGCTCTCCTTTCTATCATCCTATTTAATTATCAAGACCGTAAATCACATTTTTTTTAGGCAGAAAATCCAGAAATCATGTGGATTCCTACAACATTTGGAAGGTGCCCAAGCTTTTGCTGCAAGAGGAAATAATTCTCTGAAAAGAAGAATTGGAAAAACCCCAGATTGGGACAGTTTCATCATCTTGGTGCTGGCGGTTAAAAAAAAATATATTCCTTTCTATCACGCCTGACTTCCAGATGCATTGGATGGAGATTGTATCACTGAAATTCATGTTGCAAAGGATGTGAAGACTAGATTAGATTAGCAGAGTTGTAAGGGATCTTGTGGGTCATCTAGTCCAACCCCCACTGTCCAAGCAGGGGGCCCTACACCATTTCTGACAAATGGGAGTCCAGTCTCTTCTTGAAAGTCTCAAGTGATGAAGCTCCCACAACTTCTGAGGGCAACTTCTGTTCCTTTGGTGGGTTGTTCTCACTGGCAGAAAGTTTCTCCTTATTTCCAGGTTGAATCTCTCCTTGTTCAGTTTCCATCCATTATTCCTTGTCTGGCCTTCGGGTGCCTTGGAAAATAGTTGACCTCTTCCTCCTCTCTGTGGCAGCCCCTCAAATATTGGCACACTGCTTATCATGTCTTCCTTGGTCCTTCTCTTCACTAGACTAGCCATGCCCAGGTAGTCCTCAAATTACATGAATACCTCAAAATGAACAGGTAGTCCTCAAATTACATCAGTTCATTTAATGACTGAAGTTATAATGGTATTTAAAACATGTCTTATGCCCAAAGGCATCAATTGACCGCATGCTCAAATGAGAAAGTATTAATGTTGTATATGTATATATGTTAATAGTGTTATGTTAGATTAAGAAATAAGAGTATAAGTGAATAGAATGGAGAAGCAATTGATATAGTTATGGACTTTATTAACCAGTGTGAACACTGTTACAGAATCGTTGTAAAAAGTGGAAATTAAATGTTGAAATGTTGAATAAATAAAATAATTAAAACATGTCTTATGGCCATTTTTTCACACTTGGAACCATTTGCAAACATCCCCATGATCACGGCATCCAAATTCAGATGCTTGGCAAGTGGTTCATACTTATGACATTTGCAGTCACATGATGCCCTTGTCACATAACAAGCAATGGCAAAGCCAGATTCACTTAACAACTGTGCTACTAATTTAACAACTGCAGTGACTCACATAAGAGCTGTAGCAAGAAAGATCCTACAGTGGGGCAGAATGCACTTAACTCTCTCGCTTAGCAATAGAAATTTGGGGTTCAATTGTTGTAAATCAAGGACTGCCTGTAGTAAAGATTTAAATCTTGGGACTTCTTGGAGCCTGTAGACCCAATTTTCGGTCCCCGCTGAGTTCAAAAGAATATTTATTCCCATGTTGTCTAACGGCCACTGGCAGAAGGAAGATTGCGGTCCTTAGGCCAGACTGACTTTCGAGACGGGTATGAATTCTTTTTTTATATATCTATAAAAAATTATTTTTAATAGAAACAAATCCATCATCCATTAAACAGTGTATCATCTGGGTACAAATATCTTGTGCAATAACAAAGTTACAGCCATATTCATTACATTAATATTAATTTTCAACTCTTAATACTGATATACATAATATATCTAATTATTATAACAATCCTCAACTTATTTAATTCTATTAACATGTTTTCTAACGTATTTTCACTAATCTTCTTTGTTTCTAACTTTCATATTTGTTCTCTATCCATTGATAGAATAATTCCCATATCATGTAATATACAGTTTGTTCCTTCCATTTAATTGCGAGTGTTAACCTATTCATTTCTGCGCATTCAAAAATTTTCCTGATCACATTCTCATCAGTAGGAATCTCTTCACTTTTCCATTTTTGTGCAAATACAATTTTAGCTGTAGTTAACACATGAATAATCACCTCTATACTATAGATTTCAGGTAAAATCCCCAAGAAAAATATTTCAGGTTTTAAATCAATGTGCTGTTGTATCATCTTTGTATTTTTGTCCAGTATTTTTTGGCTTCTACACATGTTCACCACATATGATAATATGATCCAGTTATCTAGTGGCGTTTCCAACATTTAGCTGATTTATCTTTGAACATCCTTGTCAGCTTTGTCGAGACAAAATGCCATCTAAAAAACATCTTATACGGGTTTGAGACGGGTATGAATTCATGTATTTATACTTG